AGGGAGGAGAGCTGGGGGTGCTGGTTACGTAAATGATACCAGCCCAGAGAGAGGCCTCCAGGCTTGGGCTACCGGAGAGGGAGGGGCCGCGCGAGAAGGAGGGGCTGGAAGGGAGCGGGCTGGGGAGGGAGGGGGGATGGGGGCCGGGGGCGAAGTGACCAGGCGGTGGCGGCTTTGCTGAGGTGACAATGTGCTAGGAGCCCTCGCTCTGTCTCCTGCGCCTTCTCGGCCTCGGCGCCCGCTCTCGCCGCGCTCGGCAAGCCCTCCAGCCCGCCGCTGCGCTATGAGGGCTCATCTTTCGGGCTGGCCGAGGCCGGAGCCGGCTCGCTCTGCTCACGGAGAAGTGTGAAGATAGAGGAGCGGGCGGGAGCCCGGACTGCGCGCGGCACTCGCGGACCGGCGGATCCCAGGTGAGCGCGGGCTTGGCACGCCGGGCACTCGGCGCTGCCGGCCGGCGCTTGCCGGGCTTGGTCGGAGTGTGAATTCCGTGCGTGGACGCCGTTGCCTCTGCGCAGGATCCTTGGCCACAGATAGGTCTCGGTCTTCCTCTCTTTTTCGTAATTATCAGGGGCGAACCCCTTCTGGGCGGCCAAAGTACCCGGGCAAAGTCCTGCAGGGAGTGCTGGGGTGCGGAGCCAACCTCCACGGGCCGGTCCCGGGGCAGGGGCATTGGCGGAGCCGATGAGGCAGCCACCTCCGCGTTCAAAGTGCGCTTGCGAACGTGTGCAGGTGCAGCGCGAGGACCGCGAGGCGCGGAACTTTCTGCCCACCGCCCGCCCTTTCCCCAGCTTTTTCCCGCTACCCAGCTGAGATGGGGGGCGCTGAACACCCTCTGCGCCCTAGTGGCGCTCGGCGGCGGCGGTGACTCGGCCTTCCTGCCTGGCAACTTTCTCCAACCAACTGTGGGTGGCCGGCAGCGGCAGCTTGGGCGATTCTATACCGCCCGATCCCGGAAGGCTTCGGGTCTTGGGCGTCTACCTCGACAGTTGCTTTCTCCTCTCTCTGCCTCCCTTACCTTCTCTCTTTCAGTACCCTTCTGCCTCTAAATCTCTCTCTGTCTCTGACTCAGTTTTTCTCTCTCTGGCTCTCTGCCCCATCCTACGTGCGTGTATCCCTGTCGTTCTCTTTCTCTCTGCCTCTCTTGGGATGTCTCTTAGTCTCCTTTATTCTGTCTCTTCAGCTGTCTGTCCATCTTGCAGTATCTTATCTCTGTTTATGCTTTTCGCTGCCTATCTCCCTCTCTCCTCATCCCCCTGCGTTGATCGCCCAGCTCCGGCTCCCTGATCGGATCCCGAGGCGCCTTGGCTAGGGGGGCACGCCCCAGCGAGCGCGCCAGGTGCAAAGAGCTCCCTTCTGGGGGATGGCGGGAACATGGGGATGGATGCAGCCTGCCCTTGTCAGGGCTGTTGCGGAGTCGAGGGGCTGAATGAGGGGTAAGAGGGCCAGAGCGGAGGGCACCCTGCCAACTTCCGCTCCTGGAGTCCGAGGGCGCTGCGCTGCCGCGGATCAGAGCGCACCAAGACTGTCCATTTGGACAGCGAGAGCTGTCCGGGCGACTATAGTTGAGTCTTCCGGTGGAGAGGCCACATTTCCAGCCTTTACAGGCAGCTGGGGGAGAAGAAACAGTGGGCAAACAGAAGCAACGGGTTCGGGGAAACCAACCTCTAAAGGGTGAGAGCTTTTGTGAAGCAAAGGTATTGCGACCAGACGAGGGGAGAGAGCATTGGAAACAGAGGAGGCATGTCTGCCTCAAACTATCATCCGCTCAGTCTTTAGGAGAGCAGTTTCCGTGAAAGAAGAGATCCAGCCACTGTTCCCAGAACACAGCGCAGAGGGTTATTACAGGGCGAAAGACGCTTGGCCGCTACAGCCCCCTGAAATTTACCGTTTTCCTTGGGGCTTCCAGATTTTCAGCAACCTTTACGTGAAGACTGCCTTTGCTCAGTGTTTGTCTCTCTTTCTTTCATGTGTTTGTGAGTGTAAGTGTGTGTGTAAGCATGTGTTGGTATTCATACCCCCTAGTGTTAAAGAAACCTGCTGATTTGAGAATATAGAAAAGTAAGGTCAGCCTGTTAGTGATTCTTACGTTGGACCGCTCCCCTTCCTGGATCATTCTCCTTGCTTTCCCACACCCTTTCCTTTTCCTCATCTTGACTTTTGAATTGCATTTCTAATCTTTCATTCCTGCTGATCTCTATAAACTCCTCCTGCAGAATTAGAACCTCAATACTGTAACCCTGTTATTGACTTAAGAGAAGGATGGATTTGGAGAATTTTCATGGCCTAAGGCAGGCTTTGAACACAAGAAATGTACATTTCTCTGCACTGTTTGCCACAAACCAGGATCTCACATCTCTTCCTCATGCCCCTTCCCACCTTCAACTCTACTGCGAATTTTCTGTGGCTGCTCTTGCTTGTTTAAGTAGATATGTTGAATTCACCATTTCTATGGTGTTCATCCCATTATGGAGCTTAAGCTGCTTGCTTAAGTAGGAGCACTACGTCTCGGATCAGGTTTGGAGAGGAAGAAAGCTTTTCTAAAGGAAGTACAGAGCACTGTTGGTGTAGATTAATTTTGGATCAGACAGACTAGAGTAGGGCCATATGCTGTGTCACATATGTAGATCCTAGTGCAGTGTGGGAAAGCTAGTAAGTCTTTAATAAAAACTTGTTGGTTAACTGACTAGTAACAAGCTGATTATAGACTGTGAAGTCACCCAGCTATGCTAATGAGCCTCCATACTAGAAGTTGAATTCTCCCTTTTTTTCTGTTTCATTTAGTCTTTTATGAATGGGAATTAAGGACTGGTAGAAGGAATGTTGAAACATGAGCCCTCTGCTTCTTTCTAGCTCACCTCACTACCTGGATTTGCCCCTCTCTGAAAGTCTTTATATTGGCTGATGTTCTCTAGCAGTCATTACAGAAGCGAAGAAATGAGTTTAGAGGTGCTGATGGGTGGCATACCTAAATCTTCCTATCTGAAAGTAAACTGGGACACAACACATTTTTGGTTGAACACTTTTGTGTGGTTCTTAACAAGTGAAAAGTTTTATCTTTTAATGTGAAGAATAGATGTGTACTTTAGGACATTTTGGGGCTATAAATTGATCTGTAAATTGCGTCACTTACCGTAAATAATTTATAGGTGTCCTTACTGTTTCAAGTATACAAGAGGTGTGATACTACATGCGTATGAGAATATGCCAAAATACCTGGAAATGTCACGTCTCCTGATAAAAGATATTGGTAGGAATCCATGGACTGTTATATTACTTTTTAAAATACTGTGCTAGTCACCTCTTAAAAAGGCTGGGAACTTAGGATGGTACTGTGCAGGAGCATTTCAAGGTAATTTTGCTTAAGAAACGTTACTTATAAATGACTGATATTCTCATCTGCCCAAATCTTGTATTTAAAAACTATATTAAAAGGTGGTAATTCTGATGTCCACCACTCATCTGTCAGTTCATTGTACTGTGGTGGCTTGCATGTTGCTGTCATGCTGGAGTCTATGCCACTGGTATTTCAAATACCAGCAGGGTCACCCAGGGTGGACAGGTCTCAGTTTAGCTTTCATACTAAGACACACTAGGAAGAAGAACCTGGCAATCTACTTCTAAAAAAAATTGGCCAGTGAAAATCTTTTGAATAGCATCGGAACATTGTTTGATGTAGTGATGGAAGATGAGCCCCTCAGATTGGAAGACAATAAAGATAACAACTGGGGAGGACCTGCCTCCTCAAAGTAGACTCAGCTTTAATGACGTGGATGGAGTAGAGCTTTCGGGACCTTCATTTGCTGATGTGGCATGACTGAAAATGAGAAGAAAGAACTGCAAACATCCATTAATGATTAGAACGTGGAATGTACGAATATGAATCTAGGAAAATTGGAAGTCATCAAAAATGAAATGGAATGCTTGAAGATCACTATCTTAGGCATTACTGAGCTGAAACGGACTGGTATTGGCCGTTTTGAATCAGAGAAACATATGGTCTATGATGCTGGGAATGACAAATTGAAGAGAAATGACATCA